CGGACACATCTGGTCTTCAAAACTTCTCTTTGGACCCTTACTAGAGTCGATCGGACTCTAGTTTAGCGAGCATCAGGTCACATTGAAGCGTGTCTGGTCTTGGTGCTGAGGGAAGGGGCACGTAGGTGGTCAGACTCCACGCGGACGCATCAAATCATGGAGTTGTGCGTCTGGTCAGGGTCTGACAACGTGGGACTATGCTAGCCATTGGGTGCCAATGGCTAAACCATTTGAAAGGGACACGTGGCAGCGTAGGGGTGACCGGACGCTATGACCAAACGCGTCCGGTCAGTGCGCAGTCAGCCTAGTGAAGGGGTAACGACTCTATTTATTCGTGGGGTTATAAAAAGAGCACTTGGCCAGCCTTGGGCTAGTAGCTGAGCACACTCACGCCTATGTGGCTTTTGTAGGAGTGCTTGGATGCCCTCTAACTCACTTGTGCATATAGTGGCTGCATCCGATTGCGAGTGAGTGATTCTAGTGCGATTGTATTGAGAGATTGCATCGAGTGGCACTAGGTGTTTGAGTTACAAGCCGGTGGTGCTTGTTACTCTTGGAGGTTGCCACCTCCTAGATGGCTTGGTGGTGTGATCTCCGTCGAAGCATGCAAGGAAGCTTGTGCGGTGCTCCAGAGAAGATTGTGAGAGGTACTGTGCTCACCCCGCAGGAGCCATGAAGAGCAACACTAGTAGAGCGTGTCATTGAGTTACCCTCACTTGTGGATAGGTTCTTGCGGTGCCCAACGTGTGGGCTTGGCGGGTGATGCCAATTAGCCGCCGAACCACCAAATGAGTGGTCGACACAATGGGGACTCGCATGTTGGCAAACATGTGAACCTCAGGAGAAAAATCACCGTGTCATCCTTGTCTCCTCGTTGGTTTGCATTTCCCATTACACAAGCTTGTATTTACTTTTATACATTATACTTGTGTAGTTGCTCTTGCAATTAGTTAGCTTGTGTAGCTTTCTAGTTACCTTCTTACTTGTGCAGCATAGAAGTAGCTTCCTTGCGTGACTAATTGGCTTGAGTAGCCTTGTTAGTCACATTGCTTAGCTTATGTAGCTAAGTAATTTGAGCTCTCTAATTTGGCTTGTGTAGCCTTGTTATTGAGCATTGCTAGTGAGCTTAGGAGCTTTATGCTTTTGCTTACTAGATTATGTACGAGCTCCCCGGTTGCTTGAGTACTAGTTGCATAGGTTTGTGTGACCTTGCAAACTAAAATTGTTAGGTGAAAGAAAAATAGATGGGGCAAGAAAAGATATGAAAGAGAGATGAAGAAACAAGAACAAGAGAAGCTCTCTCATTTCATATGCTTCAAATGCCATGAAGTGGGACATCTTGCAAATGGTTGTCCCAACAAAGAAAAGCTCAAGTTGAAAAAAGAAGAAGAGAGACTAAAGCATGTCAAGTGCTACAAGTGCCGCACATGGGGTCATCTCACCTCTATGTGTCCAACCAAGAAATTGGTGGAGCAACAATTGAAGCCTCAACCAAAGCCACGAGTTGAGTAAGAAAAGAAACCCTAAGTTCAAATCAAGATCAACCAAGAAGATGGTGATGATGATGATGATGAATAAGAAGAAAATAAGAAGGGGTGGAAAAGCAAGAGAAAAAGCAATGCGTCCAAGGATGAATCAAGACGCACAGAAAGTGAGCAAGAACAAAGAAGAGAAGGTGAAGGAAGTTGCTCACATCAAGTGGCACAGTTATGATGAATTGGGTCACCTAGCTTCGGGTTGTCCAAACAAGCTTGAGAAGATGGCTCAACCAAACAAGAAGAAGCAAGGTGTTGACGGTCACTAACATCAATTATAAATCATCAACATAACCTATATTTATACTTAATTCCATCACCAAACATAGGTATAGGGGTTTAAACTAATAAATTCCATGAGTTTTGGTGAATCTATGTTTTCAGCAGGGTTTATCTAGAAAACTGTCAAGGGGGACCTATTCGTCAAAGAAAATTATGGAATTCCGCCGCGTAATCATCGTGGGAAGACTCTAGAAGACTCCAGAAGGCGAATCACCGAAGCGGGGCCCGTGTCTCTGACATGTGGGGCCGCCCAACCCCACCTAGAGGCCGCCCGGGCCCTGGGCCCACCTGTCAACCTCCGTGTTGCAATGTCGGTTCTCCACCGCCTTCTAGGTTGCATCTACGCCGTCCTTTAAGTCAGTTTGATCCAAGAGCTCACGTTGGATGCTCCAGCCTATATATACCAGCCCCTGCCCCCTCCCTGGGCAGATCCTAAAACCCTAATTCATATCATGAGGATCAGAGCCAGCTATCAAGAGAAGATTAGTCCTCCATAGGATATAGTCTTGTAAATAATAGTGAGATATACAGTGAGGGAAGAGTTTGGAGGAGGTGCCGGCCTATCGGTGCTCTCTCTACAGCTTGTACCCTGGCGGATTCAAGTTATATCTGAGCTTGCGTCTGAGATTTCTCTGGCAATCAACTTCTGATTCAAGTAAGCATCTTGTTTATATTGTTCTTTAGGTTCACGACTCTCTTTTGAATGCTTTATTCTCTTCCTAGTGGGAGTAGAGTATTAATCATAAGTGTAAGCGTGGTGATTAGACTTAGGTTAATCATGGATGCACCCTGCATTCCGGAAGGTGGTAGATCGCGTGAGTGACATAAGTTCTATATAGCTTGTACTATATGCTTCGTTGATCCTTTGTAGTCCACCTCCCGTATATAGGTGCACGTAGGACGCGGTTGCGAAGGAAAGCATCCTCTGCTGGTGTCTTTCCCTAGTAATGTCTCCAGTTGAATAGTAGAAGACATAAGCTTACCCAAGTCAGAACTAGAGAACTTTAGTTATCCTCTCTGTGCTCTTATTTATCCTAACCTTGTTGCTACCCTTAGTTAAGTTAGTCTCACACGTTTCCCTGTGGATACGATACTTAGAATACCTCTGGGTGAAAGCTACAGCGGTATCCGTGCGCTTGCGGATTTATCTGTGTGCGTTAAATATATCAACACGGGCCATATTTGTATGGTGGGTCAACATGTTGGCCGTCACCGCTTGGCGGTGTTGTCTTGTCTACACAGTGTGGCATAGAGATGGTGTTTGACTAGGCTGAAAGGACTGCTATCCCCTCGGTCCATGCGGGATCAGTGCGGCGTGCCTACTCTTGTCAGAGTAGGCATGCTTGGCGGGGCTCGATCTCTCCTTGTTCCCCCAAGGGTCGGGATGGAGGAGAGGTCGTAAGGAGTTGTGCGGCGCGCGGTAAAGGCAGAGGGAAGAGGTCATGGGCAACCCCTGCCTTAGTGTTTGGTCTAGGTCCACATAGCTTAGCTGGGCCTCGATTGTTTGAGCTTATACTAGCTGGCGTTCCGTGGGCTGCCCGAGCGACTAACTAATAGATGCCTTGAGATATCCGGGGTATCATATCCCCGACACCAATTCTCTCTATATTGGCAAATATATTATGACAGATTAACTATGTCCTCGGAATATTGCTTTAGTGTTCTTGGTAGAGTGATTGAGGAGCAAAGCGATGGTGCTTGGAACACGAGATGGTAGAGATGTTAACATTGATCAAGGACCGGGAGTTAGGAGAAGCAAGAGCATAACATAATGTTGAGAACAATGAAGTTGAAGAAGTATTAATAATCTGTGGCTTGATGAAGATGTTCCTCTCGCTCACTTTGAAGCCATGAAGTGAGACCGAGAAAGAGATAGTGGGCTGTGGTCCGAGAGTCTCGGAATGAGACCGAGCTAAGAGTTTGGGAGTGAAAGTCCGAGAATTTGGTTTGTAAAACTCTTTAAGCTAGATTGTTGAACATTATGAGTGGGTTGTGCTCTATTTTTCCTTCTAGTGTTTTCTCACACAAGGGTGAGTTTTTTCTCTAGTAAGGTTTTTAATGAGGCGACCATTGCCTTTGAACAACTCAATAATATATAGTATTTTGTCTAAGTGTTGGTGTAAGTTGTAATGGTTCTTCCATGTTTGTGATTTTGTAATTTGTGGTTGTGGTTACTGTATCTGGACTTACGGTTATGGTTCAAATTGAAAGTTTAATGTTTCCAACTTTCCATTACTATTTGACTCTATAATCTCTTGTAACTTGTGTGTATATGAACATAAATATTGATCTGTTTTGCCTTGATAGCTTGATCTTTGAAATGAAAAGATGAGATGAGTAGAGTATGTGGTGGTGCGCCTGCTACATCACTGCATGCTTTTAATTTTCGGCTTGGCCCGGCGATCCGTCAGCGCCATCCAACAAGTTTGTGGCCCTTTTAGGCACTGCCTTGTGCCCTGGCCCGTCAGCAGCGGGCCGTGCTTTTTCACATGCCCGTGTCGGGCCATGTCGGACGGCCCGGTTGGCCATCTATAGCCATGACGAGGACATGGCACCTAATGATACAATCATGGGTCCTTTGCATTGGTATTTGTGAAGTTTGTAAGAATTTTTTTTATAAGCTATTCACCCCACTGGCTATATAGATCCTATCAAAATGCCACCTGTAGGCGTCAGTGGCATATAGGTAGTGGTACTAGTGACATGATAGGGGCTATGGTGAGCCACGACGGCGACGTTGATGGCGGTTGGGGGTTTGGGCAGCGGTGGCGGAAGGTTGATGGCGCAATGGGCGGACCGGGGGACGGGGGTTGTGGTGGGCGGCGATCGCGTTCACCAAAACATGAGAGCTGAAAAGCATACGAAGGATGACGAGACGATAAGGTTTGAAAAACCTGAGCAAAACAAGCACTTATTTTTCAAAAAATCATCAAATGATTTTTTTTGAGATTATCATCAAATGAAAATTAAAATGGCAAAACGATATCTTAGCGGGTGGCTAGCATTTGCAACGGTGATTTGATGAAGCACACAAATTTAATGGCATTTGGACGAAACCGCTTCACATAAGTGCAAATTCCCAATTTTCTCTTTCCCAAATCCTCATCCTCATCTGCTCGTCTGACTTTCCTTGACTCGATCGTTCTTCCTACTCGACTGTCAACACTCGACACAACCCCTTTGATGGCTCAGGCACGCGTGCGCCTTACTCCGGCCGGCGTGCCGGCCACCGCGTTCCTCTCGGGCTCCAACCCCAGACCCGCCCACCTCACCTTCTTCCCGAAGCTCACCCCCACCTCCCTCTCCGCAACCGCGGCTGCCAATGCGCCGCCGCCCCACATCGTCGTCGTGGGCTCCGCCAACGCCGACATCTACGTCGAGGTCGACCGCCTCCCGCTAATCGGCGAGACCGTGGCGGCCCGCGCGGGGCGCAGCCTCGCGGGCGGCAAGGGTGCCAACCAGGCCGCCTGCGGCGGACGCCTCGCGCTGGGCCCTACTTACCTCGTGGCTCGCGTCGGCGATGACGCAAACGGCCGACTCCTCGAAGGTGCCCTAGCCGACGCCGGCGGTGTCCGAACCGACCGCGTCGCGCGCGCGGCCGATGCGCCATGGGGACATGCCGTCGTCATGCTCATGCCCGACGGCCAGAACTCCATCATCATCGTGGGCGGGGCGAACATGGAGGGCTGGGCGGCGGGGATCGGCCCGGAGGACCTGGAATTGATCCGAAAGGCCGGCGTACTGCTGCTGCAGAGGGAGATACCCGATTGGGTCAACGCGCAGGCTGCCCAGGTGTTTGCTTTTTACTCTACCTATATCTCAGAAGGGTGATTTGCAAAAATAGAACTCGAAACATCGGTCGTTTGTAGATTTGACACATGACCCACATTCATAGACACAGATGGACCCACTTGTCATCCACCCAAGTGTCATCATAAGGAATCAATCTTTCGAGTGTCATTTTTGCAATTTTTTCATCTCAGAATGGTTTGGCACACAGATTTTCCTTTTCTTTTTTGTTATAACAAACAAGGTACTGTTCGATTATTCTGATCTCAATTACGTTGAATATGGTAATGTAGCTTGGCACATTATGTTTGAGAATGAAGCAACAATTTACTGGATGTTTTGAATATTTGATTTGATGTTTGAGTATTTAATTTTCGAAATTTGGGGAGATATAGTGGCTGACTAGGTTCTTCTAGCATACTGGTGCTGTTTAGTCAATTGAAGTAATAAATTTGGTAATGGCATCTAGATTCGTAGTGCTTTGGGCAACATCAGCAAGAGAAAGGTTCTCTTTTACATCTTAAAACTGTATTTAGTACAGGACACTGCATAAACTATATTTTCGATTATTTGCATTTGGTGAGGTTTAAATGGTTCGTGCTTACCTTGGTGCTGTTTGTTGGAAAAAGGAGTGAGGATCCACTGAAGCTTTTATTGCTTGGCGTAGTGGACTCTCAGCTGTTGATTTATTTTTTCAGAAATTTGGAGAGATAGTATGGCGGGGGGGGGGGGGAGGTTTAGTAAAATTATTAGTCAATATATAAGGACATTTGCTACTGAAATCTAGCTAGGAACTGTTATTTTTTCAAAGAACTGCTAGTCGCTGTTTTGCCAACATTGATGGGGCTCCATTCTCATTCAAGTATTTGGTGCAGCCAAATACATTGATGTGTTGTCTCTCTTTGGTTGAGGATGCAGTAACTTTAACCGTGATCTTCTGACTTCTTTGGTATTCCATCCGTCCACAAAAGGATACAATTCTCATTTTTCGAGGAGAGAGACGATTTGAAGTTGACCAAAGTTATATAACTAACGTTTATGATAGAAAATATGTATTAAATTAATTATGAAATATATTTTTGTAGTAAACCTAGTTGGAGACATAATGTATTCACTATAAACTTGGTCAAAGTTAAGCTAGTTTGATTGACACAAATACCATAGTTGCATCCTTTTTGGGACAGAGGGGGTACTCGGTATCATGTGGTATAGATCAGTGTATGAAATATGGGGCTTATTATATTGAAGTTGTATTTGGGCCAACCTGTGGGTTCATTTGGTAATTCCTAGGTTCAGTATTGTCAGCATTGTCTTTGATTAGTTACTTTACTACCATTACTGTCTTCAAATATATGGTGTCATGGGTGGCCTCAATCTTCTTTCTTCACCTTGATAACCACCAGTACCTTGCCATGCTCAGCTAGCCAAGTGGACCTCTGCTTCCTGTCTGAAAACGAAAACCCAGTTCCATCTAGCTCAACTATGTCTAAACAGTTCCATGCACAAGCCAGTTGTTCCTTGTAAATCGTGATAAGTGAGATTTATCTCCTTTTGGTTCTTGGAAACAAAAGAGTTGATTAGTTTAACATTTGCGTCCACATGACCATTGGAAGAAAACAATGCCTCTGATCCTAACAACTCACCTCCATCAAACGAACTCTAATCTGAAACTTTCAGCCTCCAAGCATCTCTGTTCGTAGATGAAACATATATCTATGTGTTATTTTACTGCTATTAGTGTTTAACGGGCTTCCCATGACTAGATGGTGCCATCTTCTAAAATCTAAATTGTTGAAGTGCTCAATGGATCCAGTGATATGTTTTGTCTGCCCAACAGCAAGAATAGAGATCCAATGGTGCAGAAGGGTATCTTCAGTTTTTATTTCTGCTGTGCATGCTTCCATCCATATGTACAATGGAGCCAATCTCATACTCCCCCTTCCCAAAATAATTGCAATTCTAGAGTTAGGAGGAGAACCAAGGTTGATATGAAATGACAAAAGTACCCCTATGTACCGCCTCAAAAAACCTCAATGCTGAATTAAAAAAAATGAAGAAAAGACTCCACGCTAGCAGCTCGTCCCGACCACTCCGGTGCCGGCTCCAGACTCCACGGCGAGCTTCGTGCCCGCGCGGCCACCTCACAGATGTAGACATCGCTGGTGGGTGTTCATGCAGAGACCAGCCCACCCGATGTGGCTCTCGCAGACGCAGATCCAGTTTCTGTGGCTTTGAATCCCAGTGCCGCTTTACGGGCTTCACGACACGATTGAAGCTCCTACCACCGCCGCCTGGCATCATGCCGCCACTGCCTAGCTTCACTCCATGGCTTCACGCACCACACAGCTAGGTCGGCAGATCTGCTGCATCGTGCTGGGCGCATGGCGCCGGCAGCCATCCACGCGTGGGTGAGGAGCGCTGGATGTGGAAGGGGCCACGTGAGAGGAGCTGGACGGGGAGGTGATCTGGATCTGTATAGTGACCCATGGGCGGACGGAAGGATCAGCAGACTCGAACTTCCAAGTGTGAGGGAAGGGAAAGGTGCACTGGTGCAGTCGATTCTTCTGGAGTTGATTGTTTTATATTATGGTTGAGTCCCCACACAGGACAGGTTACTAGCTAGTAGCAGCCTAGCACATTGGGTTCGTAGCTACCTGTACTACCAATTGTTGCGTTTATTTTGGGGCATTTTTTGAATCCTACAATTGTGCTTATTTTGGGGTGGAGGGAGTACACTGCACATGTACTTCAGGCCTTGTTTAGTTCCTCCCTCTAAAGTTTACTCCCTATCCCATCGAATGTTTGAACATATGCATGGAGTATTCAATATAGACTAAAAAAATAACTAATTACACAGTTTGCGACTAATTTGCGAGACAAATCTTTTAAGCCTAATTAGTCCATGATTTGACAACGTGGTGCTACAGTAACACATGTGCTAATGACGAATTAATTAGGCTTAATAAATTCGTCTCGCGGATTACTGACGGATTCTGTAATTTGTTTTTTTATTAGTATCCGAACACCCCATGCGACACCCCATGTGACACCTGATGTGACACCCCAAAACTTTACAACCTGGATTTAAACAAGGCCTCAGTCATATTTTAGTGATTTTAGG